AGTGAGGGAAGCTTGTAGTGAGGGAAACTTGTAGTGAGGGAAACTTGTAGTGAGGGAAGCTTGTAGTGAGGGAAGCTTGTAGTGAGGGAAACTTGTAGTGAGGGAAGCTTGTAGTGAGGGAAGCTTGAAGTGAGGGAAGCTTGTAGTGAGGGAAGCTTGTAGTGAGGGAAGCTTGTAGTGAGGGAAACTTGTAGTGAGGGAAGCTTGTAGTGAGGGAAGCTTGTAGTGGGGGAAGCGTGTAGTGAGGGAAACTTGTTAGTGAGGGAAGCTTGTAGTGAGGGAGCTTGAAGAGAGGGAAGCTTGTAGTGAGGGAAGCTTATAGTGAGGGAAGCTTGTAGTGAGGGAAGCTTGTAGTGAGGGAAGCTTGTAGTGGGGGAAGCTTGTAGTGAGGGAAGCTTGTAGTGAGAGACACTTGTAGTGAGGGAAGCTTGTAGTGAGGGAAACTTGTAGTGAGGGAAGCTTGAAGTGAGGGAAGCTTGTAGTGAGGGAAGCTTGTAGTGAGGGAAGCTTGTAGGAGGGAAGCTTGTAGTGAGGGAAGCTTGAAGTGAGGGAAGCTTGTAGTGAGGGAAACTTGTAGTGAGGGAAGCTTGTAGTGAGGGAAGCTTGTAGTGAAGGAAGCTTGTAGTGAGGGAAGCTTGTAGTGAGGGAAGCTTGTAGTGAGGGAAGCTTGAAGTGAGGGAAGCTTGTAGTGAGGGAAACTTGTAGTGAGGAAGCTTGTAGTGAGGGAAGCTTGTAGTGAGGGAAGCTTGTAGTGAGGGAAGCTTGAAGTGAGGGAAGCTTGTAGTGAGGGAAACTTGTAGTGAGGGAAGCTTGTAGTGAGGGAAGCTTGTAGTGAGGGAAGCTTGTAGTGAAGGAAGCTTGTAATGAGGAAATCTTGTAGTGAGAGACTTTTAGCGATGTATCTAAGCTGAGAATCACAGCTAAGAATCACTGCTGAAAATCACTCATGACTCGCTACCATAGACTTACTACAAATCAATACACAAATAACCCGCACATAAAGGAAGCTTAAAACGACGTTTCGGTCCGACTTGTGTTACTAGTCATTGATCCGATACGTCCGAAACTTCGTCATAACCTTCATTCTGCTATGTGTTGGTTATTTGTGTGTTCTTCCAGTCACGGAATTATGAGTTATTATTCGACATGTCTATCGTAATCGATTTCCCTTTACCAAGACTAACAGAAACCTAACAAAAATACACTGTGGCTATCGCCTCCAATAACAAACAATAACCCATACGGGTTTAACGCTTGTTTATACTACTACTACTACTACTACTACAACTACTACTCTACTACTACTACTACTACCACCTCACACCACCACCGACCCACCACCACCACCACCCACCACCACCACCACACTCACCACCCACCACTACTACTACTACTACTACTACTACTACTACTACTACTACTACACTACACTACTACTTACTACTACTACTACTACTACTTACTTTATAACTGCTGCCTGCTGCTTAACTACTACCCACCACCACCACCACCACTACTTCTACTACTACTACTAATACATACTACTACATACATACACTACTACCACCACCACCACCACTATTACTACTACTACTACTACTACTACTACTACTACTACTACTACTACCACCCACCACCACCACCACCCCCACCACCACCACCACCACCACCACATCCTACAACTTACTACTAATACTACTAACTAATAATAATAATAATAAAATAATAATAATAATAATAATAATAATAATAATAGGTAGTAGGTGGTAGACAGCAACCGCCCAGGGAGTATACCGTCCTGCCAAGTGAGTGTAAAACGTAAGCTGTAATTGTTTTACACGATGGTAGGATTGCTGGTGTTTTTTTTTCTGTTCATAAACATGCAAGGTTTCAGGTACGTCTTGCTACTTCTGCTTACACTTAGGTCACATTACACATACTGTACAATGCATATGTATACACACCCCTCTGGGTTTTCTTCTATTTTCTTACTAGCTCTTGTTCTTGTTTATTTCCTTTACTCCATGGGGAAGTGGAACAGAATTCTTCTCCGTAAGCCATGGCTGTTGTAAGAGGCACTAAAATGCCAGGAGCAAGGGGCTAGTAACCCCTTCTCCTGTATATATTACTAAATATGAAAGGAGAAACTTTTGTTTTTTCCTTTTGGCCACCCCACCTCGGTGGATACGGCTGGTGTGTTGAAAGAAAGAATAATAATAATAATAATAATAATACAATAATAATAATAATAATAAATAAAATAACAATAATAATAATTAGTAAAAAAAACGATACGGGGGTGGTACAGTGTCCGAGAAATAACTTGGGAATGTTTCTACAAATCTTCTTCAAACTTTCACTCCTGGTGAAACACGATTGCAAACGAATCACTGAACGAGTGGGGCTTGAACCCCACACCAGCTGGTAAGTGAATCACGGCCGTGCTGGCGGGAAATTCATCTGCAAAAACCTGCATTTGTGGTCACAGTTGTGGCCCAGGTTGACCTCTCAATGGTGTATAAATGTAGTTGGATGAATCTTATTATAGCCAGCTGGCCCAGCGGTTTACGCACTGGCCTGGAGTTTTATGACTCACCTGCCATGGGTTCTAGCCCCACCCATACCGTTATTATGATTTCTTGTGTAATAATAATAGTAATTATTATTATTATTATTATTATTATTATTATTATTATTATTATTATTATTATTATTATTATTATTATTATTATTATTATTATTATTATTATTAAACGGGGAAATACAAGGCATTAACGAAAAGATGCCTGGATATGACTCATAAACCTCGTATCTCCAATGAGGATCTCATGAATTATTACCCAGCAATATACCAGCGGAGGTATATTCCCAGTAGTTCTAGTGTGTGCGTACCTTGCTATGAAGAGTGTGCATTTATGTGGTATTCTCGTCTCCGTCAGCAATGTTTGGGTCATCAGCCAGTTAACAAACCGATATTCACTGTATTCTCATGCACCTCCTGGATAGTGGCAGTGTTAGCATGTGTTTCCTTGATACTCGCGGTACTCCTATATACCACCTTGATATTCGCTGCGTTAATATATACCTCCTCGATATTCGCGTGATTTGTCTGTTCCTCTTCGATATTCGTAGTTCTAGAGTATTTCTTTTCGATATTCGTTGTATCAACAAGTTCCACTTAGATATTCTCAGTATTAATACATACGTTTCCTCGATATTCACTGTATTTGCGTATGCTTCTTCTTGATATTCACTGTATTTGCGTATGTTTCTTCTTGATATTCACTGTATTTGCGTATGTTTCTCTTTGATATTCACTGCATTTCCGTATGTTTCTCCTTGATATTCTAATTGCGTATGTTTCGCCTTGATATTCATTGTATTTGCGTATGTTTCTCCTTGATATTCACTGTAATTGCGTATGTTTCTCCTAGATATTCACTGCATTTCCGTATGTTTCTCCTTGATATTCTAATTGCGTATGTTTCGCCTTGATATTCACTGTATTTGCGTATGTTTCTCCTTGATATTCACTGTATTTGCGTATGTTTCGCCTTGATATTCACTGTATTTGCGTATGTTTCTCCTTGATATTTACTGTAATTGCGTATGTTTCTCCTTGATATTCACTGTATTTGCGTATGTTTCTCCTTGATATTCACTGTATTTGCGTATGTTTCGCCTTAATATTCACTGTATATGCGTATTTCTCTCTGATACTCGTGGCATTAGGATAATTTTCCCTCGATATTCGTTGTATAAACATATTCGTCCTCGATATTCGTCCTCGATATTCGTCCCCGATATTCGTCCTCGATATTCACAACATAGGTACGTTTTTCCTCGATATTCCTTGTATTGCCTTACCAACCCTGGATATTCACTGTGTGGCTGCATTATTGACGTTCATATTCGTGCCAAACCTGCAACGTTACCCGCAGCGTCGTCTGCAACGCCACTTGTACCTCAGTAAAGTTAATGACTGCATGTCGATCAGACAAAATCAAATATTTTTAAATATATGTATTTCTTTTCTAATGTGCATCTAAATTAAAAAAAATGAAGAAACAAATAGGTTAACACACACACACACACACCACACGCACACAACACAACATACACACAACACACACCACACAACAACACACACACACTCACAGCATACACACACACACACACACACACTACACACACACACACACACACACACACACACAACACACACACCCACACACACACACACACACACACACACACACACACACACACACATTCGTGTGGAATAGTTTCTCGTCTATCTCGATTGACCTTCTGCTTCACTTTTGTCTCATCTAAATAAAAAAAAAGATTGTCCTTTTTTTGATTATCTCTTAGATTTAGTCCCTAAATTATGTTTCGTGCGATTGGATGTATTCAAAGTAAACTATTAGATTTGTTGTTCCCTTGCTATATGCACCGATTTTCACATGCTTTGCTTCTCGCTTTCCTCTCTCTCTCTCTCTCTTATTTTTTGTCTGAAATGTGTGTATGTGTGTGTGTGTGTGTGTGGTGGTGTGTGTGTGTTGTGTGTGTGTGTTGTGTGTGTGTGTGTGTGTGTGTGTGTGGTGTGTGTGTGTGTGTGAGATTCAGGATAACGGGAGTCGAGATCTATCTGTCAATGAATTACTTGCTGGGTGGATCCTGGGTCTAGGTGTGGCCTTGCTATTTTGCGTTTATTTTTCCATAATAAAAATTGCCCACTTCCCGCCTTAAACAGATCTATGTATTTAGAGATGCGTTACTAGTTTGACTGGGAAAAAAACGAGCTCCTCCCTTCAAGAATTAATTATATACAATTAGCAAAACCGTTAGAAAAGTGCTCACCTTCAGAAGGCATCAGGATGAGCTAGCAGGTCTTAGCCAATAGCAAGTAGAATAAACTTACACAAATCAACCAATCACCTGCAGAGAGATCACGTGATCACCAAGTATATATAAGACTGCAGAACAGAGACTTCACACACTATCTTCCAGCAGAAGCCATTTTTTTGAGGAGTTCTGTGAGCATCAGAGTGGAAGTCAGCATGAAGGTCTTGGTAAGTCCATCCCAACTGACCTTGTTTGTTTTTACGATATTCCATGTTAATAACATCAGATCAATTCTTCAGGCACAAGAAAAAAAAATAGCCAAGTATTTGTTTTTGTTTCATCGATGTTTACTTTTTGTTGACAGGTAATTATCTGTGCTTTGGCTGTGTGTGTCAACGCGCAAGTCGGTTCTTCGGGAATCGTCAGCCCTGATGGAAAAAATGTCCAGTTCTCTCATGACTTCGCCAATAGCATCGTGCTGGTTGGACCTTCCGGCATCGTCTCAGCAAATGGAGAGAATCTCCAGTTCACCGCTGGACAAGCTGGCCTCAATGCCGGTAATCTGCCAGTTAACCCCTACCCATACACCTTATACAAACGAATCGTAGGACCTTCAGGTATCGTTCACCCCACCGGCAGAAATATCCAGTTCACTCAGGCTCAGGCCGACAATCACGTGCTGGTCGGACCTTCCGGTATCGTCAGCAGAGACGGCAAAAACATCCAGTTTGACTAAGGCTACAGTATCGTGGGCTAGTTACGTGTTTATGACCTCCCTGAATGATTTCGATTTGACTTCTCTCTGGCCTTCTTCCCACTGTGATTGACTTCACTTTCTCGTACCGCGGAAGCTCATAATTCCTTCTAGAGCTTTCGAGAAGGTATCAAGAAGTTCTCAAGAAACCAAGAGTGGCTCTTCTGCCCAACGCTCTCTGAACGCCTCTGAAATCTCTAGGCTCATGGTTGTGTCACTCTTATTTTCTTAGCTGTTAATTTTACAAATAAAAATTACAAAAATTTATCCACCTTGAACAGATATTTTATTTTCCATCTCATTTTTCGCAGCAACGGGGATGGATTAGTCTAAAATTAACCTACTGAAAGCAGAAGAGGATCAAGTGTCGGAATAGATGGAGCATTTGTTAACAACTGACTGGAAAAGAGAAGGTACCTAAGAAATGCAACTTGTGTAAAGAAAAATGACACTGTGTAAGGGTTTTATAAACATAAACATGCAGTCTACTAGATAAAATTGTCATAGAAATATTTAGAACAACGACAAATAGGAAGACAGGAAAGAATCAAGGAGTATTTTGGAAGGAGAAAATAGTTCATTTAAGTATCTTTCTGCAAGTGATAATATAGGAAGGTACTCGATAGACTGAAGAGTGAAGACAATGAAACTAATGCAGAAAATGTATTCATCAATAGGTTTTAAGTTTATAAAGGTTATAAAAAGTATTTACAGGAGTGACACTCATGCTAAGGTGTGTAGGAGAGAAGAGAAACAGTATCCAGCAAAAATAGGCCTTAGGCAAGGTTGTGTGATGTTACCATATGTTTGATGTATTTAGAGACGAGGCTGTAAAATTAGGAGAACATTAAAGTACTGGAGAGAAACAGGCTTAGACGATATCTTATCAGACGTGAAATAGGGTTAGTACTACATTAATGGGAAGTACTAAGTCCATAAGTACAATATTACTCCTGGAGATCAAAGTATTCCCTACCCCTTAGAGGTGATACTGCTGTAAAATAGGAGAACATTAAAGTACTAGAGAGACAAAGGCTTAGATGATATCATGTATCATATATATAATATATAAAAATATATAATATATATATATATATATATATATATATATATATATATATATATAATATATATATATATATATATATAATCAATATATATTTAATCAATAACAACACTGCGACTAGCCGAAGACTTGAACCCGTGTTGTTTTGGCCCTCCTCATAGTGAGCAAAAATCACAAGACGCTCTAATCCCTAGGCCCACCCAATCCTACAAAGATCACGCACCAAGCAGAGTTAGGTGTTGTACCGTGATCCGAGGACACACGATGGTGTGGGTGCCTGAGAGCTAATTTCATTCTACTCTTCGTTTGGTGTACTAGTCTCCACAAGCAGTATATATATTACTGTAACCACGAACGAGTGATATTTAATTAACAACAACACTGTAATCAATCAATACATCAATATTTTCTTCATTTCAATATGTGTAGCACAGCATAAAAATACACCACACATTACATATATATACACAAAATAAAAATACTTCTCCAATATACATTTCTCAGTTGTTCATATTTAAATAATCACAAACCTATTTAGTACATGATTTTCAACCCAATTTATACTAGATATCATTACATCCAAAATCATTGATAAAAAATATATATGCGGTGTGTATCAATAACGAGCTGGGAAATACATGAAACATCCCTGTATAACGAGTAAGATTACAAAATACTGAAATATCCTTGTAAACGTCCTTTTTGTAGTAGCATTTACATCAGTAAATAAATTTCCCAGCAGAGGTAGATCCGATCCTATTAAATGTCTAGCAGAGGTAGATCCGATCCTATTAAATGTCTAGCAGAGGTAGATCCGATCCTATTAAATGTCTAGCAGAGGTAGATCCGATCCTATTAAATGTCTAGCAGAGGTAGATCCGATCCTATTAAATGTTATATCACTGATATATTATCATCATAAATATCAGTTGTATTTCTTCCTCTCACGTGATCAAGCCATTTAATGCAAGAATTGTTATTTCTCAGGCAGAAATTACCTAAATGACTCCAGACAACACCAAGAGAATGTGCATTAAAAATTACTCACAAAATAATTAGCATCACACTTATTATGCAGTGGTAGTGGTGGTAAAAGTTGCAGTGGTAGTGGTGGTAAAAGTTGCAGTGGTAGTGGTGGTAAAAGTTTTCAGTGGTAGTGGTGGTAAAAGTTGCAGTGGTAGTGGTGGTAAAAGTTGCAGTGGTAGTGGTGGTAAAAGTTGCAGTGGTAGTGGTGGTAAAAGTTGCAGTGGTAGTGGTGGTAAAAGTTTCAGTGGTAGTGGGGTAAAAGTTGCAGTGGTAGTGGTGGTAAAAGTTGCAGTGGTAGTGGTGGTAAAAGTTGCAGTGGTAGTGGTGGTAAAAGTTGCAGTGGTAGTGGTGGTAAAAGTTGCAGTGGTAGTGGTGGTAAAAGTTGCAGTGGTAATAAAAAATAGCAGTAGAATAGCAATGAAAAATTATTTATTTTTAGTAAAAGTAATTTCTTGAGGGTTGGCACTGGTGCCTGACAGTGGTAGTTGGCACTTCCACTTTAATAATCTACTCTGGATCTGTGGTCTTTTAAATTGTTTTCTCTTCCCAGGCTGCACACTCACTTGGAAATGTGTTTCCTGGGAAAGAAATTCGCCTTAGAACTCATAAGAAAACGTAATGAAAGGTGGTAATTTCAATTTCGTGTTCTGGTTTAAGGATACTCGAGGTTTATCTTAGAGTAATCAACGAGATTTCTTTAATAATCGCCTTATTAGAGAATAAACCTCAAGATGTCCTTATTAATGGTCTTCTCTCAGAATGCAGTTAGGTTAGATTAGGTTAGGTTAGGTTACGTTACGTTACGTTGGTTTAGGTTAGGTTAGGTTAAGTGAGGTTAGGTTACGTTAGGTTACGTTAGGTTAGCTTAGGTTACGTTACATTAGGTTAGCTTAGGTTTGGTTAGGTTAGCTTAGGTTAGGTTAGGTTACGCTACGTTAGGTTGGCTTAGGTTAGGTTAGGTTAGGTTACGTTACGTTGGCTTAGGTTAGGTTAGGTTAAGTGAGGTTAGGTTAGGTTACTTTACGTTAGGTTAGCTTAGGTTACGTTACATTAGGTTAGCTTAGGTTTGGTAAGGTTAGCTTAGGTTAGGTTAGGTTACGCTACGTTAGGTTGGCTTAGGTTAGGTTAGCTTAGGTTAGATTAGGTTACGTTACGTTACGTTACGTTAGGCTGGCTAAGGTTAGGTTAGGTTAGGTTAGGTTAGCTTAGGTTAGGTTAGGTTAGGGTATGTTAGGTTAGGCTAGCTTAGCTTAGCTTAGCTTAGCTTAGCTTAGCTTAGCTTAGCTTAGGTTAGGTTAGGTTAGGTTAGGTTAGGTTAGCTTAGGTTAGCTTAGGTTAGGCTAGGTTAGGTTAGGTTAGGTTAGGTTACGTTAGGTTAGGTTTCGTTAGGTTAGGTTAGGTTAGGTTAGCTTAGGTTAGCTTAGGTCAGGTTAGGTTAGGTTGGGTTTGGTTAGGTTAGGTTAGGTTAAGTAAGGTTACATTAGGTTAGGTTAGGTTAAGTTAGGTTAGGTTAGGTTACGTTAGGTTACGTTAGGTTAGGTTTCGTTAGGTTAGCTTAGGTTAGTTTAGGTTAGGTTAGGTTAGGTTAGGTTAGGTTAGCTTAGGTTAGCTTAGGTCAGGTTAGGTTAGGTTGGATTTGGTTAGGTTAGGTTAGCTTAGCTTAGCTTAATTAGCTTAGCTTAGCTTAGCTTAGCTTAGGTTAGCTTAGGTTAGGTTAGGTTAGGTTAGGTTAGGTTAGGTTAGGTTAGGTTAGGTTAGGTTAGCTTAGCTTAGCTTAGCTTAGGTTAGGTTAGGTTAGGTTAGGTTAGCTTAGGTTAGCTTAGGTCAGGTTAGGTTAGGTTGGATTTGGTTAGGTTAGGTTAGCTTAGCTTAGCTTAATTAGCTTAGCTTAGCTTAGGTTAGCTTAGGTTAGCTTAGGTTAGTTAGGTTTAGGTTAGGTTAGGTTAGGTTAGGTTAGGTTAGCTTAGCTTAGGTTAGGTTAGGTTAGGTTAGGTTAGGTTAGGTTAGGTTAGGTCAGGTTAGGTTAGGTTAGGATAGGTTAGGTTAGGTCAGGTCAGGTCAGGTCAGGTTAGGTCAGGTCAGGTCAGGTTAGGTCAGGTTCCTTCATATGTTGATGCTTCAATCACGAGATTTTTTTTCTGTTAAACATCAGTAGACACGTCAGCAAATTAAAATATAACACTTTTTGGAATTATACTTTGATTAAATAAATTATTATGTCAAACTTGTACTAAAGTCGCAAGTCTGTGGCAGTCCCCACAGCTGTTACAAATAATATTTTACGAAACGTCACACAGAATATATACAACGATAGATGTAGTTCTCTCTCTCTCTCTCTCTCTCTCTCTCTCTCTCTCTCCTCTCTCTCTCTCTCTCTCTCTCTCTCTCTCTCTCTCTCTCTCTCTCTCTCTCTCTCTCTCTCTCTCTCTCTCTCTTAAGTACATTAGAAAGAAGGAACACTGCAACAGACCTACTGGCCTATGCGAGGCAGCTCCAATTCTCATTCCTGCTTAAACCAATGCCTTGACCTAGTGAGGTCAGACACGTCACTTAAGGGAGGAGCAGTGCATCCGACCTAGTAGCACAAACTAGTCAGGTCCATCTCACACCCACCCACACCCACTCATGTATTTATCCAACCTATTTTTAAAACTGCACAACGTCTTAGCGTCTATGACGGTACTCGGGAGTTTGTTCCACTCATCCACAACTCTATTGCCAAACCAGTGCTTTCCTATATCGTTCCTGAATCTCAATTTTTCCAATTTAAGGCCATTGCTGCGAGTCCTGTCTATGTTAGATATTTTTAGCACGCTGTTTACATCCCCTTTATTAATTCAAGTTTTCCATTTATACACATCAGTCATATCTCCCCTAATTCTGTACCTT